AACCGAGATGCTCCCAATCTCAGTTTCCCAAGTAGGTAGAATTACAGGTGTGAGCCACTGGTGCCTAGGCCACTGTGTTTTCTATTTTGTCTTTTTTTTAGACATTCAAAGATCAAATTAAGCTAATGAAACTTAAGAGAAAGGTGTAACTTACTTCAGTGAAAACTTTTAAAGTACCTCAACAACTTTAAGAGTATATATTTTAATCATACATAATTCCAGTGGGATTAGTTGCCTAATACCCAGTAAACCTTTGTTAATAATAAGTGAAATATTTATCTCTTGCACAGAAAGAATAATTCTTAAAAAATTAGTATGATAAACAACACTTAAAATATTTCTAAATAATATTTATTTCTTTTTTGAGAAAGAGTCTCAGCATATAGTCCAGGCTTTCCTAAAACTCACTAAGTAGCCCACACTGGTCTGCAACTCACCATTTTCCTGTCTTAGCCTCTGGAGTGCTAGGATTAAAGGCATTTTCCACTATACTTAGACAAAAAAATTAAAATTTTACATGGAATGTAGATGCAAAGTGTTTCTCAAGAACTTCCTTATTTTACAATTCAGTGGAAATTTTGGTTAATTTGTAGGGTTTACAGTGTTAAATCCAAGTTTTCTTTTGCTAGGAAGGGGAATAATACTGTGGGAAAAGATAGGTAAGTGTAAATTCATATCTCTAGTTAACCAGTTCTTAGAATTCAGTTTGGAAGTTCATATGAACAAAGAGCTAATCCGATGTTCACACATTTAATAGACAACATGGAATATTCAATGTTTATATAAACTAAAGGTTTTTTCCGTACTGGAGTTTGAACTCAGGGCCTCCCACTTGGAAGGCAAGAGCTCTCTGAGCCACACCCCTGCCCTCTAAATGAAAATTAGATTCATCTTGAATTGGTTATGTTGCATTTTAAGTAGTATTAAACAATATGTTATAAAGAACAATATGTATCCCCCCCCAGATTTACTGATGTATGCCTGATAAACACTGTATATATTTAAGACAAAGAAATATATGTATACACACATTATGAAATTATTACTTCAAACAAGATAATTGACAAAACTGTCCCCACAAAGTCACCTTTTTTGGTGATGAGACCACTTAAGATGTGATCTTTTAGCAATTTTCATGTATAAACCACTTTATTAACTGTAGGTGCATGCTGTACACTGCATCTTCAGAACTTACACTTCTAATTGACTTAACATCACTTAATATTTGGAATCTTAAAAACTTGATCTCCTGAAAACAGAGTAGAGTGATGGTTACCAGGGTCAGAGAGATAGGGGCTTTGGGGAGATACTGGATATAAAAAATTTTAAATCAAGAATATGTTTTAAAATTTCTTCAGATTTAATGGTGAGCTTTTAAATTTTGAATGTAGGGTCTCATTTTTCTTTAATAGCAAAGTGGGTTTATAAAGCATTTATCTTATAACATTAAAAATACCCATCTTCAGGACTTCAGAAAAGCAAAAAATGAAATTAAAGGTGAAGTGTTTCTGTGCTGTTTTTTTCTATATTTGTAAAGTGCAAAATCAAATGTGCATTTTTGAGTGAAAAATCCATTCACTAAATATTAACAAAGTACATTTTGTACACTAGGACCTGTGACAGTTACTGGTATCTGTACTCAAGGATCTCAAAGCTAACATGGGAGATGCATAAAGCAAACCAAACATAATTAAAGTTTTTGGTAAGTGTCAGTTAAGTAAAGAAATGAAGCAAGAAAACAATGGGGACTGAAGGATTTGTGTGTTGGCCATGAGTGGCCATTTGAGGAAATGACCTTTAAGCTGAGAACTGGAGGAAAGAAAGAAGCCAGCCATGTCAGGAGCCAAGCAGAGAAAATGGTTTATGGGAAGGCCACAAGGAAAGGAGGGGTCTAGATGGATAGGCAACCCTAAGTACTGTTTACAGAGTGAGTACTCACGGGTTTTGATGACTTGGCTAGATGAATGAATGGCAGAAATGACATTTTGGTGGTAGGATTGCAAAATAGCTCTAACTACAGAATGGTATTTCTTTCAGCTGCTGTACCATTTGATTCTCATCCCACTTCTTTTCTTTTTTTGTTTTTTGAGCCAGGTTTTCTCTGCTATATAACTGAGGCTGGCCTCAAGTTTCTGATCTTCCTGCTTTTGCCTCCCTAGTGCTGGGATAGCAGGCTTATACTCCCCACACCTGACCTCCTTCCATTTCTTTATGGTTTAGAATTTTATTTAACCATTTCTCCATAGATTACTGAACAGGTTTAATAATCCTTAAAAATACTGAGTTTAAAAATCAATGAACAGATCAAATAGTTACTAGTCAGTTAAGAAGATTAAAATGGTTGGGAGACTTTCTCAGGGGCTGACATTTTTGTAGGCTGAAGCTCTCTTTGGCTTTTCTCAGAGTCAAGGGTAGAGTATGTGTTTTGCATTACTGTGCCTGAGAGAGAGATATGACTAGTCAGATGGTGGAGTCCTTAATCCTCAGGTCTAACAAATGCTGAATTCTCTGCCCTCTTTCTTCCCTCCTCACTGATCTGAAGACACAACTATTAGGCTCTTGATGACTCAGACCTCAGACTGTTTATCTAGATGATGATAAAATTCTAAGAAAGCTTTATGAATCCAAATAGATGTAAGTAATCTTACATAAAATAGGTTTTCATTCTGTACTTCGGCAGATTTTGAATTTCATTTTGTGTTTTTAGAAGTTTTCCTGACTTTCCTCAACCATTGTTTTAGAAGTTGGTGATTATAGGTGAGTTCTGGCTGTTAGAGGTTTTATTTTTCTGTCATCCTGACCATGTTTCTAAAAGGACTATGCTTAATCATATTCACTTGACAGTTTCTTTTTTAGTGCCACATTCATCTCTGTGTTTAGTTGTTGGCTAAAGAGAAGAAAATGAAACATTCTTGGACTTTGTTCTTGTAAACCATAAGGAGGAGTATGGGAGACTGACATTAAACAAATATATATGTGTGTGTGTATATATATATATACAAATGTATACATATATACACACTAGATATTGTGTTAAGTGCTGAGGAAAGCAGGAGGTGCTTTGAGGGAATAACTTCGTGCTCAGTTTTGGATTGGATCATCAGGGAAGGAATTTCTGTATGGGTGGTTTAGGTATATTTCTGAAAGATGAATATTTAGCAAGGGGAGAAGGGGGTGGATGAAAGGGCCAAAGACCTTTGTCTCTCTGTTGATTATCTTAATTTTAATATGGAAGATTATATGTGTTACTGAGTTCTTAACTAACCACTCTTTGCAATGTGAGTTTGATGGGGCCCGCACAAAATGTTGATTTGCTAAGGTGAGTGTTTGTCCACCTTTAAACATGGTTTAGATAAACATGAAATAAATGCAAAGAGATTAATTTATTTGAAGTATAATTATTGTGTGTTTAGTTACTAATGTCTTTACCTTTCAACTTTTAATGCTGGGAATCTGAAGATTGGGTTATTGGAAGAAGTAAACACTGATTGTCTCTAACATGGTTGCATGTTGCCATGTGTAGAAAACATACTACACAGTAGCCAAGAGGAGTTAAAAATAAGCACAAAGATGAGGGAATAAGATAGAAAGAGGACTGGGTTGTCAATGTGACTGTATGATGTTAAGGTCCTTCTGTGTTCTTATTCATAATTCATTCAATGCTTGTATATGAAACGGCTACCTGCACTGACGAACTTCAGAAGTTTTCTCCATTTGGTAAGATTTGGGGTAGTTTGATTTCAAGCAGTTAACATTTGCTAACCTTTAACCTGAGAGGCTTGCTGTAATTTCACATAAGTAATAGATGTGTGGCTAGGGAAGCAGCCATAAGACAAGCCCTCCAAAACCCCAGAAGTTCTCTTTTTAATTTTAAATCTTGAAAGCCACAGGAAGTTATATCAATTCCTGTAAATGTGTTAGAAAACTGCAAAAGGAGAAGGTAGACATGGTTGATATGTGTATATTTTAGGAATGATTTTTTGAAAAACAGGAAGCTAGTTTCCATATATTATCATTGTTAACAGCTGAAGGTGTCTAGATGGTACCAGTTCAAACTGAAAGCCATGTAAAGAACAGATTTTCAAAATTTGTAGATTATCTGACTTTGGGAAAGAGGAATAAGTGAAAACAAAACTGTGAGCCTAGGTAGAAGTGGTTCTTCATTCCTCACTTAGAAGTTCAGAAAAATAGAGGGTTTAAAAGCCTACATAGGAAAGGTGATTTTTCATATCAGTAACCACTTTAAGCTGCATTTCCCTTTCATATGATCCTCTTTCAAAACCTATGAATGTTTAACTGAATTTTGAGTGATTGAAAATTATTCTCTGTATTTTTTTCAAAATTCTGATTCATGCTCTAAAGAACAGTTTTTCTAAAAATGTTGATCAAAATGTTAATTGTGCCATTCTCTTCTCTTTTTTATTTTATTTTATCATTTTTACATGTATTTACATGTGTATACATTATTTGGGCTACCTCCCCCCCATTCTTTATATTTTAATAGGGCTTTTTAAGCTTATTTAATCAAAATTATTTATCTGTGAAAATCCAATTAACAACGCTTTGTTGTTTAGCAAAATATTATTCATGCCCACAGCAAAAAATAAAGTGAAACAAAACAGGTGTGTAGGCTTAATGAGGATGAAAGCTTCATGTGTTATCTTCACTTAAAAGATTATCTCCATTAATGGGACATGAATTCAGTGGTAGTGTTTATGACCACATTTTGTTTTACATTGAACCTTAGAACTCTGTATGAGAACAGTATTAGTAGTATGATTCCTTTTTTTTTCTTGTATTATGTCAATGGACTAGAAGGTGTCATTACATATTTTGTTTTTCTTATGTATGATTGCTAAAACTGAGCACTGTCATAGCCTGCTTTTCTACACTGCTTAACAGCAAATGAGAACACACTCAACATGACTATGTTACAAACGCATTTAAAATCCAAGTTCATGGTACATGAATGGAAAATAACAATTTCACTTGTTTTACAGAAAACGCATGTTTCAGAAGAGATGGGTGAAATTTGATGGCCTTAGCATTTCTTACTACAATAATGAAAGGGTAAGTACATTTTAAGGTTTTCAAAAATTGCTTTACATATAATAATTGTATTTCAGTCAACAAGTGACTTGGTTTTTAAGAATACAGGATTGTCAACATGAAAAGGATCTGAATGTGATAAACTTACTCTTTTCATTATTTAACTTTGCTTACACATAAATATGAGATGTTTTAAACTTATATGTCAATTATTTATGGAATATCTTCTGTAAATATAGGAGATGCGATGAGTGATAAAAAAAGATGAATAAGGAATTGCCTTTATACTATAGGGCACCAAGGTATCTTTATGAAATCACACCATGTTTAGAAAGTGACAAAGCAAGGAGAGATTGCTTCATGCTGTGGGAGTGAGAGGGGCGTGTATGAGATTTCACTTGCTAGGAATCTCAAAGGAAAGTGGATGTTTGTACATACAGAAGTTGGAAAGAACAGAATTTAATAGGAGAGAGAATAGTGTGTAGCGCAGATGGGAAAGTGTAGACCCTACATTGAGTGTGTAGTTTTTTTCTGAGTAGAGAATGGAATACATGAAGGAGTCTTGTGGGAGATGTGCTGAGGAGGTTGTTTAGAGTTAGAGCTCACTGAAAATCTTATCTATTAGATGAAAGTGGTTACAGTATATTCTTTTGGCAATTGAATCTTCACGACATGACAGAGTTCTAAGCATGTCTTCTTTTTAGGTAAGAGAATCTCATCATTCTTAGGAGCTGTAGACTGAAATATCTGCAAGCATTTTTCCAATGTTACCTGCATCTATATATTTGTATTTGCAAATATGCACATTTATTTATATACATGCTTATCTAAAGAAAACATTCTGTAGATGTACATCACCCCTCTGTATCTTCAAGTTGTGCATTGGTATGGAGTCAACCAACTATGGATCAAAACTATTCAGAAACAAAATTGCATCAGTACTGAACATGCACAGACATTTTTTTCTTATCATTTCCTAAATGATACAGCATAACTGTTTATATAGTGTTTACATTGTATAAAGTATTATAAGTAACCTAGAGATGATTTAAAGTGTTTATGAGGCTACGTATAGGTTATATGCAAGTATTTTATTTAAGGAACTTAAGCATCTGTAGACTTTTGGTGTCCTAGGAGTTTCTGAGACCATCCCTCTCAGAAAACAAGGGACAACTATAATCAGCTGCCTAATCTATATAGGGAATATATGAATACTCATTGTAGTTCCCTTTTAGCTTCTCTGTATTTGTACATTGCTTTAGTAAAGACTTAGAACTAATAAATATAGCACATCTTAGTTAGTTAAAATTAGATAATGTACATTTTAACTATGTTCATTCTCTTTAACATTTTTAGGACTTAACCACATTCTTTTATTTATGATTGTAATCTGATAATATACATTATTACCTAATCTATTTTCACTGCCTAATTTTGGTGCTATCTCTGGCTTGAATAGAGATTTCATATGCTACTTCTTTAGTGCTGCAAGAATATGTGTTTTTACAGGGAAAATAAAACGTACTGGAACATAACACATGCTATAGGCATCAGCCTGAGAATAATCGTTTGTTTTAGAGAAGACGAGGGGAGGAGGGAAAGAAGAATGATAGAGTTAATTATATTGAAATACATTGTATCTGTCTAGGAACAAGACACAGAAAAACACACTGAAAACTGTTGAAAGTACAGGGTAAGTGGAAGAGGATAAGGAAGAGTAATACAGGGGTTGAATGATTAAAGTACAATATATTCACAGGTAGAATACCACGTCAGAATCCAACTGAACAATGAACGATGCTTAAACGATGAAGGGCAAGAATGTAAAACAGGTTAAGGGACGGTAATAGCGGGAGGGGAGGGTAAATGAAGAGGGTAAAGGAGGGTAAATATGGATGATGTGTTTTCTACACATATATGAATATGAAACATTGAAACCTGTTAAAGTCATTTTAAGAAGAGGGATGAAGAAAATCAGGGTACATTGAATACAAATATGGAAATATCACAATGAAACTACCTGCACAACTATTATATACTAATAAAATGTTAAAAAAATAGACGATTTAAAGAAGTTGTAATTACTTGGTTTTATTTTTCAATAATCCAGATAAAACTTCATGTAGTCTTTAAACAAACCTCTTTGAAATTTGAATGATGATAGAATGAGCATTTTTAAACTCAATTTTCTGCTTTAGCTATTTTTAACTTGATTTTACATTATGAATACTGCAGTGATATCTGTGCCTAGGGTGAGTGCCATACAGTTTGTCTATCTGAGGATATCTAGTTACTGTTTTTCCTTGGTGCCTTTGTTTTTTCCTGGTTTGACTAAAATGAGGAAGAAAACTATTTGGGAGTGAGACAAGCTTCTGTGCAATAAGGCTCCATTAGTGGTGATATCCTTATTCCTATTTGAGAGAGAATGTCTGGTATCTGTGTCCAAATGGACTGTTTATCTCTCGGTGTCTTTTTCCCTTTCAGAACCCATCTCAATTGAAGTGAACCCAACTCATATTTGTAGATTAATGTAATATAAATGATGCAGACGTGGTTTAAAATTGAGATAAAAAGTTTATATTAAAGTGAGTAGTTACAAATCACTTATCCTAACCTCATTTATTTGTTAGATATTCAGATTGTTATTTCCTGTGGCATTTCATTCACTCATTGTCCTGATGAGTTGGTTTCATCTTGGCAAAACACAAAATCACTAGTGTGGGTGTTTCACAGTTTCTGCTATGATCTTTCTGGCAAAAGGTGTGCATTGGTGTGGCCACAGCTATTATTCTGCTAGTGGTGTAATTTTAGCAGCTATGTGAACAGAGCACTTGGGTCTTTTAATGTCTAAATGTGCACTTGAGTCCGTACATAGTTGGGGGTTTAGGGAGCAGTGTGCAGAGTTGCTTCTTTCTCTAGTTTTGTTCCACTTTCCTCAATGTTGCCCAATCATGTCTCCGTAAGGACTTCTTCATTTTATCACAGAAAACCATGTCATCCCAATAACCTTGATATCTTATCTCCTGCTAAGAAATCTAACTCACCCCCATTCCTACTCAGCTGTGAGCAGAATTGCCGTGTGATTGTTTCATTGTCTGAAAGTGGTAGATTAATGACAAATTTGACCTAGATAGCTGTGTGTTACAGGCTCAAGGGATGCTTTAAAATTTCTTTCCTTAAGGAAAGTTTCTACACTCTGAAAAAATGCAGGCATTTTGAGCCTGTTGTCATTTGAGTATTTTTGTCTATATTGTCTTCATCTTGTGTTGCTGCACGAGAAAAATAAAATCAACTCTACAGTGTTGAAAAATTGCAAGGTTTATCTTGGGATCTTATAATAGATTATAAATGAGGTGTTAGAAGCTTCAACTTCCTGAGGTCAAATTGACATCATATTTAGCTTGTTAAGTATATTTTAACTTCTTCTAGGGAATTTTTTTACTTACCTGTTAAACATAGTATCATGTTAAAGACATATAGGTTATTATGTGTTCTTAATCTCTCTAAGGAGATCTGGTAGAAGGAGAAGCTCCTTCTCCTTCTGCAATTTTTCTTTACTGAAAAATGGGTTTCTGAATAATGTCTGGTACACACTGTGAGAAACTTGAACATGTTTTTTTCTTTATTTTCCCATGCTTCTCCTTCTTGTGTATTCTTTATGTGCTCCCATCAGATATTGTTTAGCCATAGCTGTCCATTACAATCCTGTGCAAACTTCAAGAATCCATCTTGTTATCCTTCTCTATGAACCTATCCTTTACCTTCTCCAACCATATGACATTTAAACAATAATATGCCAGGAAGTTTAAAAAGAAAACAAGTTGAAAGTAGGGAGACAAATTCAGGAGAGTGTTGCACTTATCCAGGCATTAATTTATTGGTGCAGACTAATGTATAGGTTCAATAGAAATTATAAAAAATGAATTTCAAAAAATATTAAAAATAAGTTTTCAGAGTTTGAGTGCAATTGTGATTGACTGAACTTAAGATCCAATCATTGAAAAATATTTCTGTAGCACTAAATGTAAAGGAAGGTGGTGAGGAAACTAGGTAAACCCAAAATCTATTTGGGAAAACTGTGTTAATCAAATAACCACATTTAATGACATATCAATATAATGTATATTCACCACTTAAATTATAAGTGGTGAATTATAATTTATTATAATTAATAATTATTAAATTATAATAAGTAATTACTGTAAAGCAAAAGTACATATTGCTGTTAAGTTAGAATTATCTGCCAGATGAGGATGAGAACTTGAGAGTAAAGGCTAGGTAAAAAAGATTCTTCAGGATGGTATATTTAATGTTGAAATATGAGGGAGAATTTAGATCTATGTGTAGATGGATATGAAGAACATTCCTTTTGGAGCAAGCAGTATTGGATTGGGCAAAACATGCTACACTCAGGGAAGCTTGTAAAGACCAATGTCAGTAGAATTCAAAGCTGGCAGGTTGTGGGGAGCAGGTTGTTACTGTGAATGTAGGTGACAGTCCAGGTTATGTGGGCAGAAATGTCGACACACGCCAAGGACTGTTCTGTACTATTTCATAGTGATCAGCTAGAAGAGTGATGTTTTAGCTTTTATTTTCAATTTTATTAGCATACATTCATTGTGCAGAGGAATTCATTGTGATAGTTCTGAATGGCTTTACATTGAACATTGTAAGTTTACCCCCACCATTTCTCCCCCTCGTTCCCCTTCCCTCCCCACCTAAAGCAATTTTAAATAGTTTCATTGTTCTGTATCGTATATGTGTATTAAGCATATCGACCATATTCACCCTCCTTCACTCCCTCCATTCATTACTAGTACCCACCCCTCCTCAATAGGACCTATTTTATAGACTTAGCATTCATTTTTAATTCCAAAGTCAGTGTTCAAAGGGGTTTTTTGATGTATCTCAGCTGTGAATATACTGTACTTTAGTAAGTTCTGCTCCCTCTATTACTTTCCCTTCCCCTTTCCTCTGTTACTTTGACCTTTCCTTCCCACCCCCATTATTCAACAGTTTTCAATACATATCATTATAGCCTCTACCTGCTCAGATGCAATGTATTTTGATATTACTGTATTTTTGTCATTTTTTTCCTTTCCTTCCTCCCCCAAGTTCTATGGAGTAGTTCCACTATTACAAACATGTTCTCTATATAAATGTGTATATGATCGTATCTGTTCTTGTGTGCATGTTTATCTTTTGGATCTATCTTCTACATATGAGCAAAAACATGTGGTCTTTGTGTTTCTGAACCTTGATTACTTCACTTAACATGATGTCCTCCAATTTCATCCATTTATCTACAAATAGCATAATTTCATTTTTCTTTATGACTGAGTATAGCACTCCATTATATGTAATCTGTGTATCTATCTATCTGTCTATACCACATTTTCTTAATCTGTTCATTAGTTGTAGTATTGTTTTGATGGACAGATACAAATTTTCAGTTGATAATTCAGTTTCCATGTTTGAGGTACTCAATGTTTGAGACTGTTAAATATACTATTGATGACTCAAAAATAGAAGTGAGATTGAGTGAAATGGGTAAATAAGGGAAAGGTGGGAGAGAGAGGCAAGGGAAAGAAAAATTTTAGGTTTCTCCACATAAAATTGATGGCTGAAGTAATGAGAAAGGATTTTCCTTCTTAAGGAGAGAAGACAAAAAAGCGGGGTGGGGGGCAGGGCAGAATAAGGAGAAGAAATCAATTATTTTGTCAGTGTTTTTTTCTGACATTTTTTCCCCTTTCTAAATGAGATTGCCCATTCATCTTCCTAAATTACAGTTCAAATATCACACTCAGCTTTAGAAGAGGACATAGGAAGAATGTCTATGGTATTGACATTTAAGATGGTGTTACAGAATTTATAGGAGTTTGATAAACACACACATTCAGGGATGGGAGGTTGGAGCAGAGCCAGTGAAGAAGAAATGGTTAAAGGACTAAAAGAGAATACCAAGGTGATATAATCCATTTCCTCCACTAGTAGAGGGGGATAATCCTACTAGTAGAATGCCATGTTTATGACAGTTGTCCCTTATTTGCCTGCTATAAGGCGGGAAGTTATAGCTGGGAGGAATATAAACTTGGTACTTGATTTCTGCCTGGAGTGGCTTAATACATTCTTCTCCTCACTAGTTATTTCAAGTAGTGGAGACCTGCTCCTAACCAAGGGTTCCCTGAAAATTAATCTGAAAGGGAATGGAAAAAGAAGCCCTTTAAGAAAGTGTGCAAACTCTTTTGATATTCAAGATGTTCCATAATGTGATCTTGATGTATGTTTTCAGCCCTATCTCTTTTGAGTGTGTTGCTTATTATTTGCTGTTTCTATGATACCTTGGTTCTCTTCTGTACACCTCCATTTTTCAGTGTTTCAGACCAGAATGTTCTCCACCCACTTATCAATTAGGTTAAACTGAAGGTTTCTTAAAATCAGACTCAAATGTCACCATGTTTGTGAAAACACCTCCCACCTCTTTTGAGAGAATTGAGAATTTCCATCTTTGTACTCATATATTACTTCGTTTGAATTCAGATTTAAACTTTCTCTCATCACACTAGCTGGTTTTACATTTTGAGACTCCAGTTTTCTAACATGGGACTCAGGAAATTTTACACCTTGAGGAAATAGTTGAAATTGTGGGATGGTCAATTTTGGAGGGTCCAGGAAAATGAAGATTGAGAAAAAGTTATCAACATCTTATGACCTGTTTAAGCAGAATCATATGTGTCTGTCAGTGTCAAGCAACCAAATCTTTTTTTCATTCTTTATTCATTAGGAATAAAAGGAAAAGTGATGGCATGTGAGATTATGGTCCATCCCATCAAAGTTTTGAGTAGTGTGATAAATTGATAAACATCCAACAAGTTCCTGAGATATTGTTTTGTTCTCAATATGTAGTAGCAGTAGTTTTGAAATGATCCAGTTACAGTACCTGCCATGGCCAGCAGATGCCTGCAAACACCACAAAATCATTTTGACCAGCTAGTTTTAAAGAACATGCTGCTTGCTGTTTTTTGGATCTAGTTATTGCCGGTCTAGTCAGACAGTTTGTAATAGATTCTTTACCTTTTAAATCTAGATGAAGAGAAAATTGAAAAGGCATTTCTCTTAAAAGAAAGGGATATTTAATAGCTTCCTTTTTGGAGTATTAAATCAGTCTATTTATATGTAATTTTAAAATTTAGATTGAAATCATAAATGAGAAGTACTTGTAAATTGTGACATACTTTTTTGATAAGATCAGGAGAATTTCATTTTAATATATCTTTATCTTTTTCTCTAATCAATACAGGAGATGTATTCAAAAGGAATAATTCCCCTTTCTGCTATATCTACAGTACGAGTTCAAGGAGACAACAAGTTTGAAGTGGTTACAACACAAAGAACTTTTGTTTTCAGAGTAGAAAAAGAAGGTAAGGTTTTTACTTTATCCCTATAAAAATGCAAACATTACTGTCTCACCAGATTAATAAGCCAGGTAAAAACAGAAATGTGAAGAAACAAAAGATATTATTTTTAATAATTGACATTTTAAAAATTAATTTTGAATGCATAATATTAAAATCCGAATATGTTGAGATGCTATTTCTTACTTGTTCAGTATTATTTCATGCAAACAAATATATAGTGAGGAGCTATTAAGTGTCATAGACTCTTCTCAGTGGTAGGCATATAGCAAGGAAACAGTAGATAAAATTCTCTACTCTCATAGAACTCACTTTACGCGGTTATTTTGATAATGCAAAATATTTAATACAAAAGCAATTTTCCTCCTTTTTAGGAAGTTGATTTTATGGAAGTTTTGTAGGGCAGGGTTTTAGCTGAATGAACAGGCACAATAATCATTCTGTTAGATTTTGGAGCATCTTTTATAGTTACTGAGTTCTTTTTATGTGCATCATCTAACATGGGTCACTTGATGGTAAAAATGATATAAAGATGTCATGTTTTCTGAATTGAGTCTAAACCTATACAGAGAAATCTTTTCTGAATTTTGTTTGTTGGGAAATGAGGAACCAGGGAGTTGAGAGTTCTGTGTTATATATTATGTTTGACTGTCATAATATGGCACGACTATAAACCTCACTGGTTTTGAATAATATGGTAAGGCCATCTACTTAATCAAATAATTGGAATTTTACCTTACTTGATAAATAATTTTATTTTTGTACAGATGTAGAATTAAACTTATCTTTAAAACTTCTTTCTTGGTGCTTTATTTGAATAATAATGGTATAAAAAACTTATGGGTTCTGCTAAATTCATTTTCATAACAGTCTTACAAGTATTACAGTTATTGTCCCACTTTACAGATGAGAGTATTCAAGCAGTTGGGAACTGTCACAGTGTTAACTGTTGGGGCAACATTGTCTTTTTTTAACTGCTGTATTCCCAGAACATATGTCAGCATACGGCACAAAGAAAGCATTCAATAAATATGTATTATTGGAAGATTTCCACAAATGTTTGGTGTCAATAATGATCAACCTAGCTTTCTTTCATACTGGAGCAGTGGATCACTACTGGTTAGTGTTTATGATACTACCAAATCTAAAACCACTCCCAAGTCCCCAAAAACATAAAATAAGAAATATCAGCGTATATTGCTTATAGTAAATAGTATGTTGTGAAACATATCTGTGTATGTGTTGCAAGATTTAATACAGAAACTGTTTCTTACTTCACATGGTATTTAAAAGAAATGTCAAAAGCTATGTCCGTGCAGTAGGGATCTGCAAACTGTGGCCTGCAGTCTTAGTCTGGCAGCTGCCTGGTTTTGTAAGTGAAGTCTTGTTAGTTCACTGCCAATCTTATCCATTTATATAACATCTGATACCTGTTTGCCAACCCTTGTCCTAGCACATTTTATAGAGAATTGTCTATGTTAGGAGCCACTTCTGTGAATCATTGCCTGAAATTCACAAAGTTGTTCACACTGGTGATACTTGATATGGGACTTGTATTTGAAGTCACAGATTTTCATGTCCTACATTTCTTTGAAATGAATGGCATTGCTTCTCTGGATTACCCATTATGATAGTCTTTCCTATGCTTTGGTTTCTCCTGCCCAGAAAGGTGACTGCATGTTTCTATGAGGTGCTTGTCACCATCCCCTTGGTGTTCCAAAGTGAATTTTACATGTCATTTAGCTTGCATTTTAAGATGGATGTATCATATAAACCTCCCACCTGTGTGCTGACATATTTAGGCATATCAAGTAAGTGCATTAAAAGTTTAACACATTTTGTTTCAGTAGCATATATCAGCATGTTTAAAAGTTGCATAATATTCAGTTCATTTTTATAATATAAACCTAGTATGAGAATTTTATTAACTTTGGTATAAATTTGTTTGTTAAATAAATCATAGTTCTTTAATTTTTTTTCAACTGTAGACACACTGCTTCAGTAAAAACTGAGACAGTATCCCCATGGGGTTACTGAATACGTTATCTTGATTGGACCTTGTTTTTACACAGTAACAACTCACCTTCTTAAAAGAAGTATTATAGAAGCTTGTGTATATTTATATATGTTTATATATAAATGGTACGTATGTGTCCATATATTTAATATGGAACCTTCAACAAGGTACTAAACGTGTTTTATTAAATGATCATTTTCCAAATGTTTTTTTATTTTTATTTTGTGGAAACCGAAAAATGAAAACTTTGGCTTAATGAACCTAGTGTACATTAAAGTTTGCTTCAGTCTAAGGAAGAAGCAAAATCAAAGTTTCAAACAGAAAGGGGAATAGTTTACCATCCTAACATCTTCATTTTTAGTGAGGAGATTTTTGAATGACCATATAGAGCAAATATCCTTCCTCATTCTTGAGACCAGTGTCACTGTTTCTAAACTGCTCCTTATCCATTGCCATAACTAAGATAGTTTGCATCTCAGATTGTCTAAGCCTTCAGTTCCTCCAAGTTTCCTAATAAAAATATTTCTCTACTCTAAGTTGAATGTGAACTATACTGAAAACAGTAACATTTGAAAAAAACTCTTCCTCAAGTAGGTAATTTATTCTGACTCCTCCAGCCAGGGCATTGGGTTGGGGTAAGGGTCCTGGCAGCATGACCTCTCTCTTTTCTGTCTGTATTCCTGAGGCCTCTGTGGTCACATATGCAAAACAGGTGATGTTTTGAGTGGGTACCTCTCATGGTTAGAAGACAGCTTAAGAATTTGGAGTGTGCTTTCTGTTTCCAGCGACATTTTCAGACTCTGCCTCTCAGTGGCAGATCCTGTGTTTTTGTCCACATTAACACATTCTTAGACCCTGATGAAACCAGGCAAGTGCGTCATTCTTCCAACTTTATTTTTGAACATGATCTAGCCCTCCAGTGGCAGCTCTGAACCTGATATCACAGGTTTGTTTTTTCTTTTTTTAATAAGTACTCTGGTATAAGAAACATAAATTCTCCTAGTTGCTTTATGCAAGCAGTATTATACCTCTTGAAATATTCAAAGTTTTACAAGTAAGTCAAGAAACACTTACTTTTCCTTTATTCTCTTATCCTCCACATTCTCATTAATGATGGTTTTCCAGGTGTCTACTTGTAGACTGCTTCATGTCAGCCTGTGTGTTTTGACATAAAGCATTTCAGGAACTTTCTAGGATTCCAAATTTCCTTAAAATACTGTACTTCAGGTCCTCAAATCTGGTTTTGAAGATGACATCATGGGTTTAAAGTGAATTAACCCAAATGTGTATCCATCTCTCACCTCCTTCTGTATTCCAAAATCATACTGTATTGCATATTTGACTTCTCAACATAGATGTTCAATAGTATCTCAGACGTCCACCTGTCCAAAGTCCTGTTTCCACCCTCTCCACCAAACCTTTTGCCCCTGTGATCTTTCTTACCACAGTAAATGGAAGATCCTGGTGAACCTCCATGAATTCTGATTTTCATTCTGAAATCTTTTCCTTCTTTCTTATCTCACATCCAGTCCATTAGCAAACCTTGTCAGTTTTACTCAAAAAATATGCCTAGAGGCTGACAAATTCTCAACACCTCTACTGCTGTACTCTGTTATAAGATATCACTTCTGTCTGGATTATATTAATCACCTCCCTTGATTGACTACAGTCCTATTATCAGCAGAGTTGTCCACACAGTCACTCAACAAGAAAATCATATCATGTCAGTCTACTTCATAGGTTCTACTGTCTTTTCATCATATTGAGAATAAAGTACTTATGATGTTCCTCCATGATCAAGCATTAGTCTCTGTCTGTAATTCCTTACATGTTCTGCTCCTTTACTACATTTCCTGGATATATAAACCTACTGTTGCCGTGGGGCCTTGATCCATTCTATTCTCTTTAACCTATTATGGTCTTCCACCCAGTATACTCATGCTGCATTAAAAATTATGGCAGTGCAGTCTCTTTGTTAAAATATCTTACTATACTTTTACCTGTTCAGCTGCGCCACAACTTGATTCCTTTGGGAATCAAGTCACCATTATCACTAAAGTTGTGCTTTGGAGCCATTAGAAAGTCAGATAAGTGTTATACAAACACAAGCTGCACTACTATGACAGCTGACTTGATACCTAAGATGGCTACTATGTAGCTTAGTGGAAGAGTATCATGCATAGAACATTATGGGCATAGTGAGAGACAGGACAGACTGGGATGCTGTTCATTTTATCACATTACTCAGAATGAATAGTGAGCAACTTAAAACTTACAAATTGCTTATTTCTGGAATTTTCCATTTAATATTTTTGGACTGCAGTTAGCTCCAGGTAACTGAAACTGCAGAATGTGGATAAGTGTGAAATACTGCACTTTTGTGTATAAAGTAGGCAAAAACTAGAATGGATTCCAGCTTTGCCAAGACACTTGACCAAAAGGTTTGATAAGTTATGAATTATGAAAGCATGCTTCCCATGTCCAAGGATGCACATATCACACAGCCAAGAACAAGTTATACTGTACTCTGCCTTGTTTCAATTATCTGTTCACTGTTGTTTCTTTCCATTGGCAGGGATAAGTAAGATAAGCTGAGTGTTACTCATGATTCTTAATTATTTTTTATTTCCTAATAGTAATAGAGGTCCTTAGGAGCTAAATAATTCTAGGGAGTCTTGTGTTCTAATGTTGCCATAATATATTTAAGTCCAAAAGATGCAATCACCAATTTCAAATTAATTTCTGAGAAATTGTGTTATATCCTGGCAGTTATCTAAAAGCCACAGATTTCATTACATTGTAAATTTCATTTCAAACTGATTCATGTATATGAACACAGACAACCATTATATATATTTATTGGAAGAATTATCATGTATTAAACTAATGATCACAAGAAAAAACCAAGTTAGATGGAAGCTCTGTACCCGTTACTGAAATTAGGCTATTTTAGATCTGTCTTTACCTGTTTACGTAGATGTAAGGCTGAAGAGAAGTAACTGCCTATTGAAATTGATGTAGCTATCTAAATACTTTCATGAGTTTTAGTTTAGGATATATAACAGTGCTCGGGACATTTGATAAATATTTCATTCTGATACATAGGAACAAGCATCAATTCTTGGGGATGATGTAACATTGCAAAAAAGCTTTGAATAAGTTTTTAATAAATACATTGGCTCTCATCATTGACAAAGCTGTTTTTAGTTTTTCTGTAGGTGAATATGAATGAAGATAGTTTAAAAATCAAGACTTGTTATAAAATAATTTTAGATTCATGGTTGAATGTGAGCATATCTAGTATGAAACCTATTTTAATCCACAATGAAGTTGCTGTGAGCAGACTTATCTGAGAAGCTATTTCATTTCCTGAGCTTGGGACCTGCTTACTCTTTCAATGAAAATTTTTCCTTCCAGGGATTCAGTCTGGGTTTTTTTTTTTTTTTTTTTTTTTTTTTGCTTTAATAATCCCGTCCCTGTTTGTTTAGGTCATCCTTTTTCCATCCTCATAGAAGAATTGTATCTCAAGGTTTATTCATTTCTTCTCCTTTTACATGAAACATTACCCATATCCATAGGTCTTCCCTTATGGTGGTTACATGTGTTTACATGTTGTCAGTCTGTCCAGATGCTCATGCTAGGGCTCTGAAAACCTGAGCTAGTCCTGTTGATTAATTGGATTCTTCTTTTTTGACTGACCATTTCATAATGCCAAACTGTCATTCTGAATAAATTAATTTTTTTGAGAATATCTGTCAGATTTACTCGAAACATCAACTATAACTTCCTTCAATGTATTGACTTTCCCTATATTTAATTTTCATTTTCATTGTACTTTAAGTGCCTATTGACTTAATCCTGAACTTCACACTTCCAGTTCGGCCCACCTGTCCTCACCCTAAATGTCCTAATTATATCTCTTCCTTGTAAGAATCCTGAAGTGGTTTTCCTTTGCTGTAATAAAAATGAAATTCCTTACACAGGGTGTACAGATTCTCTAGTGATATTTGCCACATCCATGTGAATTCATAATTATAACTATGTTCATCCCTGAGCAGATGTTTGTTCTTCCTGCCTTTGTTGTTGTTTTGTCTCAAAGTCCTATTTTGTTCCTCCCTCCCTGAAGCTCTTTGTTTGCTCCTTATCCTGGATACCTAACAGAAATTACCCCCTTCCTTTTTTTTTTTCATGATACCAAAAAATCTTGTGCCAGAGTTAAAATATTCGATTGTCCTAATTTTAATACTAACTTTCTGTATGACATTCAGCAGACTGACTACCTCAGTTGAATTGACTCAAATTATTTGATACCATTCCTATGACCTTTTTACTGTTCTGTGTTACATTATGTGTTCATGTCTAACTTCTAGTCTTGAGTGCTCTTTGGGGCCTAGATTGAATTCCTCTGCCCCTAACAGTATTTTATACATAGTTGAAGGTCTTAGCTTTTGAGTGATAGTGTTGAGTTTTAATTTATCAGCTGAGATGCATTGTTACTGTAAAATGGAACAGAAGATTGAGTATGAAGGCAGGCCTATCATGCAGGATTTTCTGGGTATTCGAGTGTTTGAATTGCAATATGTAATCTATTAGTTGTTGGGTAGCAGTTTTGCTTTCTTCTATTAAAAGAGTGTATTAGTTACTTTTGAATAGCTGTAACCAAATACCCTATATAATTTAAGGGAGAGAGGATTTATTTTGGTTCATAATTTCACAGGGTTCAGTTCATGGTCACTTGGCTCCATGGCAGGTGTAGAAGTTTCATCACTTCATTGTGAATAGAAAACAGAGAGAGAGGAGAGGACTGGGGACCTGTATAACCTTCAAAGACATGACCCCAGTGATCTCATTTTTCTAGTTAGGCCTCTCCTCCCACAGCTTCCATAACCTCCCAAAACAGTGCTACCTATTAGGAACCAAGAGTTCAAAACCTGAGCCTGTGGTCAACATTTCCATAACAAAGAGAAAATCCAATCTCATGAGTCATTTAAGACATTAATAGAAACCTAGATCACCTGGAACTCTTATTAAAATGCAGATTCTCATTCATCAGGTCTGGAGTGGGGCCTGAGAATTTGCCTTTCCAGCTCCAAAGAGAAGCCAAAGTATTAGTTCCAAGGCAACTGAAAAGTGTTCCTCCTTTTCTGGTAAAGAGTTGAGCTGTTGGTCCTGTCTACAACAACATTTAGATTTTGTTTGTGGGAAAGGATTTGTAAATGGTCTGTTTTAAAGCCAGTGGATTCCTTGTTGATGTTTCTATCTGTATAACTTATGCATAGATTCATGTGTTTTCTCCTGTCTTTTCAGAGGAGAGAAATGACTGGATCAGCATACTACTAAATGCACTGAAATCACAATCCTTTACTTCCCAGTCTCAAGCAGTTGGTGCACCTGAGAAATGTGGATATCTTGAATTGAGAGGCTATAAAGCCAAAATTTTTACTGTGTTAAGGGGCAACAGTGTGTGGCTTTGCAAAAATGAACAGGTGAGTTCTGTTGCATTAATTATAAAGTTGCTATTTTTTGATTATAGTAACAACTGTATTTTGTTTGTTACAGTGAGAATTTTTTATTTATAGTTTTTGCATTGAGTGTTCCAGTAAGTATAACACAGAGTGGTCAAATTTTCTATTTCAGCAAAGTATCTTCATCAAATTTGAGGCTGGACATCACCTTTTGAAGGGACTGAGGAAATAGAATTGTTGAAAACAAATTTTGAAACATATTTCTTAATTTAAATAAAACTTCATGAGAGAACAATTACGAACCAATTAACCATTGCAGCTGTTGATGAAATAGACCCAGTTCTGTACCTGTTATGATGCTGTTATTTTTGTGATAGAAAATTATAGAGTAAGAACAGATAATATATTTTCTTGAGTTTGTAAGGTTTTATTCATCTGTTTTTATTTCTTTGAGCATAGTGTTGCTTGTGGGTACACTTACTAGATACAAGTGATGCCATCTATCTATCTGTATATTAAATGTACATTGTGTATACATGTATGCATGTGTGTACACAGATACACACAGCTCTGTCTACACACATATTACATATACATAACAAAATGGACTTGTCAGGTTCTTAAACTTGGTTAATATGAAAAGAATCAATAGAAAATTTAAATATTTTTGAGGAGACTGATAACTGAAATAAAGATTTGGCAAGTCCTATTAGCTTTATTTGATTCTGTAGACTTTCTTTTCCTCTAATATTTCTTGGTATTAATATGTAACAGAGAATTCTTCTTGTACCGCTTTTTCAAAATACTTTCTTATTTTTTAGTCTTTAGGCCTAGAATATGTTAGGCGCTTACTAATTATTTGGAGATTTAAACAGTTTTGAATATCTGATCTGAGCTGAACTCATGTTATGATACATTATAATGGGTTATAGTAAGGTGAGGTATAAATGCTGACTATTTCCATAACAGAAACAGAGATTATCAACTCAAAACAAGTAATAATTTTTAAAAAATTAACTAGAGATTTTTATCCAAGACTCCTCTGAACTTCAGTGTGAACTTATTCATTAAATTTTTTTGTGTAAGATGTCTTAGCCAATTAGCTGTGGAAGGCATCATTAAACACTATCAGCATGCTAATAACTTGGGTAGTTAGCATATTCCTCAAAAAGAATAGTAATGTATATGAACATTTTCGGTCTGTGAAGTTAGGTGATTAAAACTTTTCTTATTGGAAATGCAGGTTACAAATACATAACTTGCATGCAACAGTGTGGAAGTTACTCTGCCAAACTAAGGTATTCATTTTTTACTTTCACAAATGTGATAGGTTTCACATTGTTTCATTGCTCACATTAGCAAGATTATCAGAGTATATGTTACTCTCTAGAAGTAAGATAGATGTTTTCAAAGCTTTATTAACACCTTTTGATTAGCACAATTTCATATGAAATTATTGCTTTTGTATTAGCATTCAAGCATTCAAAGCATAATAATGATTACCATTTGGTGATTACCGGTACTATGCTAATTAATTTGTAAATACTGCTTTTTAATCTTCCCTGCAAAAATAGGAAGAAGATATTCTTTTCTGTGTTTTATAGTTGAGGAAAATGAGATTAAGTAATTTGCCCAGGGATTACAGTTCATCATGCAGAGTTTAATATAAACCAGAAATTTATAACTCTAAGCCTGTCTTCTTAATCTTCATACCAAACTGCCTTTTTGTTGTCTAGATTAAAAAAGAGATTTTTCTGAATTTTGACCTTGAGAAATAGGCCAATAATTCTTTTTGTGAATAACTTAATTACCTAGGAGTTTTGGGTTACAAATCTAATGAATGTTGTATACCATTTTGGGCACTCTAACAGTGGTGTCTTACTGAGAGAGAATGAGCAAGTCTTATTTTCCAGGACAGGCCAGACAACACCAGTAATGGATGATGAGCTTAGTGCTATATTAAATGGTGCAAGAGTTACAGAGACGTGCAAATAAAAAAGAGAAATCTAAGAAATTTGATTGTTAGAAACACTTCTATGTATACAGGAAATAGATATATTCTCTAGAAAAACAAGTATTAAGACCGACTCCCTAATTTTTGATAAATGAACATATTTTTGTCTTACTAGAAAATAAGTTTTATTGCTTGAGATATATATTTGAACTTCATATTTTGAAATTATTTTAGATTTATAGGCAATTAAGATATAACAGTCATACTTAGTTTGCTATCATGTTAACATCATACATACATCATCAAAACTAAGGAATTAATATTTGTATGATCTTGCTAATTAAAGAATAGTTTTTATTTGGATTTCACCACTTTTTCCAATATTGTGATAAGTAAACATATATATGATGTATGTATACTTCAGATTTCTATGCACTGACATGTCTACTTCTTACGGAGTGCCCAAGCACACATAGCTTCTTTTTCTCCTTTTTTTTAATAAAGGGATTTAATGTTTTGTTTTTTACTTTACTGCAAAATAGTTGTTTCATTGTATAAAAATAGCACCTGAAAATGTAGTGTATTGTAAAATTAAGGTAGTATTATTCTTTGTCTCACATTATACAACAAATTTTCCTCCACTCCCAGTTACTTTCATTAGGTATTTTGATCCAAATCCAGGTATGGATATAAACAAGTTACAATATTGTATATGACTTATGATAGCAATGTTATTGAAGTATATGTTTTTGTAACCAGTTTTTAACTTTGGATAAGTTAATGAATTCTGGATATTAGAATCTAGAACCTAGTCTAAAAATCATTAAGGTATTGCAAAAAATGTTGCATATTGTTTATCTCTAATCAGTAGAAAGCAAAGGGTATTTCTCCAGTAGCAGTGTTCAGAGCAGTTTTTTTTCCATCAGTGCCACTCAGTGTTGTTATTTTAAATCTTCTGTCTGCCACAAATTTCAGAAAGGTGTGCTGAAGTAAGCTTTGTCACACCAGTTTATTTGGGGTGCCATGTTCACTCCTTGGTAGGTTTTATATATTTCTCATGTGCTTCTTCACTTATTAGTTCATCTAGTTCGAAGGGATTACTTAGTGTCATCTTTATCAGGCAACCATCTTTGAAACAAGATTTGTTGACAAATCCTGGATTTTGTGCAAGTGCTACATTAATTTCACTTACTTCTCCTGATAGAGGAGAACAGAGTTCACTGCCAGCGTTCACACTTTCCAAGGCACCAAACTCATCTTGCTTTTTCAATTTTGTCAACGCTTCAGGCAGACTACAGTATACAGCCTCTCTCAAAGCTTTCTGTGCAAAATTGCTGATTCCCACTTCCAATACCATTTTCTGTTGTTATCCATTTGTTTTCTCTGTGAATTTAAGCATCGGGAACCTGGGTCCCACCCTTAGCCATCAGAACTGCAGCAGGCAGGGTGCAGCAGGTGCCAGGACCCAGTGAGACTGCAGTGGCCCACACATTCTTTGCGACTCACAGGGCCATGTTTGGAGGGGTTTGGAAGGAGAGCTGAGGTGCTGCACATTTGCCACCAGTCTGGCAGAGGCCGTAGCTTGTTCTTTGAAATACGGTCTCCTAACTTTTTCTTAGACTGACCTTGAACCATGATCTTCCTTTGTCTGCCTTTGAGTCTTAAAGAACAAGCTGGCTGAAGCCTGAGTAGGTAAGTTAAGGAAGGCTGTCCATGCTCAGGCCCTGACAGTACCATTCCAGGATTATCTGTTTTTAGATTTTGATATATACCTTTTTCTCCAGAGGAAAGTTTCTTATTGTTTATTTCACACAGAGAAGCATGTTACATAAAGATCCTTGTGAAGTGGTAAGAAAGAAAGGAGTCTTTTCTCTCGGTGCAGAGGGTTTTGCACCAGTATGTATGTCAACCTATGTTTCAGGAAAAGCACTTGTGTATTTTTCAAAGATAAAGGAGAAAATCATTTATCATTAAAATGTAAGAGATATTAGATTTGAACTTCTGTATCTCAGTTTGTGTTGGGTTTAACTTAGTGCAGTGCTGGAAAACTTAATTATTTTCATTATTTTAAAACTGAATTTATTGCCCATATAACTTAATAACATGAAAAAAATTAAAAAATAAGAGAATTGACCTATATCACCAACATAAAAGTTATCTTCACATTTTTCATCCTTTTTGTCCTCTTTCTTTCATTAAGGACTTGCCTTATGGGAATTTTTAAGTTTTCTTTTTCTCCAGATAGGCTTTAAGATGTGGAAACAACTATGAAGAAATATGTAAAGAGGCAAATGGCATAGTAGAAACTGCTAATAATAAAGCACTATGTTGTCCTCATCACATAAATGTCATCCCTTACATACTTAGCGCTGTATCAAAACCCCTCCCTGTATTAATTTTTATGTATTCCTTATCTCTCCTTATTTTTTGTATGCTTGCAATGTGCTAAAATTATGACAGTTCAACTTTGTATAAATTGTATTGTGTAATTGAGTTTCTGTAGGTTATACTACAGTTCCTTTGTTACTGCATCCATTCATCCATCTAGCAAATGGTTACCAGGCACCTTCTCATTTATGGGTGCAGTTCTCAGCACTAGAGGAAAGCAATCACCCACAAGATCTCTGCTCTTGGAATCTTACTTTCTTATGGAAATAATACAGTGACAGTGGTAGATTCGTGAGATACCTGTAGCCTTCTGTATGCAACTTTGTCTTCCTTTTTGATTTTTTTTTTTTCATTTTGTAAGAGTTCCTATGACTCTTTCCAAAAAGTTGTTTACATTCAAAATAATGTTGGCTGTGTGATGGGTATCAGTTACACTTAAACCTTAAAAATGTTAGTTATAGGCTTAGTGGAGTGGCACAAGTGACAGAGCACCTGCATAGCAAAAGCAAGGCCCTGAGTTCAAAGCCCAGCACTGCAAAGAAATAGTAATAAATGTTAGTTATAATTTTTGTATTCTCAGAGTGATAGTGAGAATATTTATTAATTGTTGTATCCTTCTAGGTAAGACCTTGTTGTGTCTTATACAGGCAAGAATTTGGTAACTTTGTAAACATATGGA